GCGGGAGGGACTCCTTGAGGATGGTGTGTGACCAAGAGGTGTCCTGTCCTCCGTTTTTCTGTCTCCGGGTCCTGTTAATGCTGAGGTCTGTTTGCAGTGAGGAAAGGTAAAGGCGGCACCAGTCACTGAACATCGGTCCTTCTCTCAGGTCTCAGCCCTGTTTAAACTTCGTTGCCTGTACCCAGTCTCCACTTGGAGTGTCTCGGTCAGCTGTGCAGCCCTGCAGGATTCCAGCTCCCTCTGGTCCTACCCGCTTTTCTTCCTTTTTATCTTTTAAAAAGCATAACAGCTGTATTGAGTTGTAATTCACATGACATACAATTCACCGTTTTAAAGTGCACAATTCAATGCTTTTTAGTCTATTCACAGACTCGTGTCCCCTTTTCTTAACACTCAAGACCACTCTGTGCCTTCCTCTTCTTCAGAGCTAGCCTTCCTTCTCCACTGGCATCACACCGATCCCATCCTCAAGAGGTGACTTTATGATGGGGACGTTGGCCAGTAGGCACTTCCCACTGATAAAATATTTAGCTTAATCAGCCTGTGGGAGCCCAGGCTTCATAGACAAATGCTACTTCAGGTAGCCCCCTTTCCGCTGGCAAAGTCCCATCACCCCTCAAGGTCTCCCTATTTATAGCAAGTTTTTAAAAGCTAAACACAAATAACATTGCAAATTTGCCAGCTGCTTGACTGGTAATAAACCTGCTTAGGAATCCGTGACTGTCCTTGAACAATCTGAGTCCTGCGCAGATGAGCCTGTCAGATTGCTCTCGCTTTCTGCTGGTAGGTTCCCTTCCAGTCAGCGCACGGGAGCTTATAAGCAGACAATAAAGACATGAGCAATTACGTAGTAGGTCAGGTGATGGTCAGTGCTGTGAAGAAAAATAAAGCAGGCTGAAGGGACAGAGACTGACAGTGAGGGTGGGGGTTGTATCTGACGTACAGTGATCGTGGAAGTCTCCTTGGCAAAGTGATGTTTGAGTAGAGACTTGAAGGAGGTGTAGAGCAAGCCCGCAGCCGTCTGAGGGAAAGGACGTTCCGAGAAGAGGGAATAGTGAATGCAAGGCTCTGAGCGGAAGCGTGCCCAGCACGCCTGAGGAGTGGCAGGGGTCCGTGCGCCCCTGGAGCCGACCAGGTGACAGATGGGAGGAGACCAAGGGCAGTTAGATTGTCCCTGCCAAGTGGCCGTGGTAAAGACTGGGTTTCACTCTGTGTGACATGGGACGGCGTTGCAGGGTTTGAGGATAGGAGGCTCGTGACCTGCTGAGTGTCTAAGGACAGCACTCTGGCTGCTGTGTGGGGAGTGGACAGCAGAGGCGAGGGCAGCAGCGAGCAGGCCGGTCAGAGGGCTTTTGCGGGAGTCCGGGGGAGAGATGATGTTGCTGGAGGTGCTGAGGAATGGTCGGCTTGCATATAGTTTGAGGGCAGAGGTCACAGGGTTTGCATGTGGATCAGATGGAGGGTATGGAGGAGAGAGAACTGGAAGAGAGAGAACTCATGGATGCCAGGGTTTGGGCCTGAGCCTCTGGAAGGGCGGAGCTGTCATTTCTTGACATGAGGAAGACTGGGAGGAAATCACGGTTTAGGTTTTGGACATATTAGGTTTGGGATACCCGTCGAGGTAGAGATCCATGTCTAGAAGTGAGAGGATACTAATTAATAATTTAGCGAGTACCCGCTGAGGGCATATGAAATAGCAGAAGAGAGAACATTTGACCGAAATAACGGTGAAGGGAGAAAATTATGCCATGAGCAGGAATAAGTGAGACAAGCACAAGGCAAGGGAAGGTGGCTTCTGATGGAGGCAGGCGGAGGAAGCCCTCTCCATCCCATGCATGGAGGATGTCTGTGCCCTCGTGAGGATGTCACTGGCACTGCGGACGTGCAGCTGCCAGGTGTTTCCCATGGGCCGTGTGTGGGGACTCCAAAGCAGGGTCTAGGCCTCCGTTCTGTGTCCTCAGTGCCAGGCATCAGTCTTGGCATTTGGTAAAAGTTCGATGGTGACCCTCCCTTTGCAAGCCTCAGCTCTCCATGTATAAGATGCAGAGATTGGATGAGACCAGTGAACTGGGATCAAGTGGGAAGCTTTTAAAAAAGGCGGGAATCTATTCCAGACATACTGAATCAGAATTTCCACAGTGGGAGCTGCGATTCTGTGCTTTAAAGTCACTCCGTGTTATTCTTTTACAGTCAGCCCAGCAGCAGGCTACAGACGGGAATTGGGAAGCCACTGGACCAGACAACTGCTGAGGTCCTCTCCAGCTCTACCATCCTGTGAGTCTCGTTATAATGCGTGCAGTTTTGCTCTGTTCTTGGGAAATGGGGTTGCTGGTTGGGGTGGAAGGGCCTGGAGCGGGAGGTAAGAGGCTGTCTGCGGGTTGGGGGCACCTGGGGCAGGGCAGGCAGGGCAGGTGCATCAGCCAGGGGTTGAAGAGGCGTTGAGGAATGGTCCTGGGAGGGGTGGGGGCAGCGGCAGCCAGGCGTGTTAGGTCCTGGAAATAGAGGGAAAGGACATGACCCCAACTTCAGAGAGGCTCACAGACTGTTGAGAAAACTCAGGGTCTCGGCTCACTGTGGGAAGCGCTGCCACGTCAGAGAGGAGGAGGGGAGGAGGAAGGCAGAGGACTGCGGCGCTTAGGGGAGCAGCGCATGGGGCAGGGGCCTGGGGCGTAAGCTAGGGGATGAGGAGGAGTTCTCAGGGGGTTTACGTTTGGGGCCAGTGGGGTGGGCTATCGGGTGTTCTCTAAGTCAGGGGAGCAGCTCGGGCCCTCACACAGGAACATGAGAAAGTCAGAGAACCACCAGCGAATGAGAGGGGCCCTGGGAGTCAGCTGGACTTCTGGGCAAAGACCAACTGGGAGTGGATCCTCTGTGCCAGGGGAAGAGCTTGAGCTGCATCCTGACGGTGATGGGGATTTTGAACAGGGACATCTCTGTGATGAGATATGTGTCCTATGGCAACCCTTCTGAGAAAGCGTGTGGGGGAGGTGGCGGGAGAAACGAGTGAAAAGCCTGTTGTCTTGCCTGGGTCCGTGGGCACCTGCTTTCCCACACACTACCGAGAATCTCTTTGGGCTGTTTTTAGAATACGAGGTGCCTCATAAAACATTGGCCACTGACTGGCTTAGAACATCAGTGACTTGGGGTCACTTAGACCTGTAAGCAGACCTCAGATGTGTGTCCAGGAGGACAGTGGTAGGTTTAAGGTAGAGAGTCTGCCTGTTTACTTTAGGAGTTAGTTTTACGGAGAAATCTAATAGTCCTAGATTCATTTGCCTGACTGTTGCAGCCCAGCTTGTTGAAGGACTCAGATCCTTCAAGTTAGTTTAATTTTACACATTAAACCAAGACCTGCCCAGAATCTTCACACAGGTAATTAATTGGTGACAGCATAGGGGCGAAGGCCAGTTCTTGTGGGTCACAATTTCTTATTCTTTTGACTGTACCATTCTCGGGGGCTTCATGCTGGGTCCAGGAATGTGGGACTCTTCCTTCTGTTTCCCTTGATTCAGCTACAGTTTCTCTCTTCTCTGCTGCCTGTGGTCAGTGTTCCAGCCAGAGTCCAGGCCGAAGCTCCGGCAGGTTGTGGGAGCAGGGCTTGCTCTTATGCTTGCCTGCTCATTCTCTGTGCCCTTGCCAGCTTCCATTCCTGGTACGGAAGAAGCTCCCCTGCCTGGCAGCCAGCTCAAGCATTTTCTCCTGGTCTCGTTTCTGCTAAGTAATCTCACTTTCTCTCTTTCTCTGTTTCTTTCTATGTCTATGTCTCTCTCCATCTCTGTCTCTCTTATACACTTGAGTTGTTTGCTCTGTTGTCCCTGCGATGCTGGAAAGGTGAGGGTAACTTTCATTTATGGATTTTTAAACTCTTAACCACCGTACACAGATTATATCAATATGTAAACCATGTTCAGTCATGTGGGGGAGCAGGGTAAAGAGTTCACCCACAGATTGTAAAACATACACACATACACCCTTCCTTCTAGTCCTGCCTGAGCCAACAAACAATGGCAAATTCAAGGGAATTTACTTTTGTTGTTTCACAGCTCAGTGTTCCTTAGATCACGCGGCTTTCACTGTCATTGTATAAATCTGTGACCTGTAATTTGCTTCCTTGTCTCAAACACAATATGCTGGAGAGAGATCACATCTTTCTTAATGCTTTTGGCATGCCTCTGCCCCTTGATTCCTGTTACTGAACTTTCGTTAATCTACTGCTACTAAGCTTAATATTGTTAAGGAGAACAGCTGACCAAGTTGAATATTATTTGAAATTCGAAGGCTTCAATGCCGAGGGAGAGAAAGCTCATCGGTTTAAGTGACAATTCCTCGTTTTTAGTTCCTTGGAGCCTTTTTTTTTTTTCCCCTAAATTTGAATAGGTGTGGACATTCTTACATTTATATATTTTACCTATAACACCTTCAGTATATTTTCTGACTAACGGATAATGTTATCTTTTGTCTACATCTTTTGTTTCAAACTTCAAAATGCCACCCTCTCCTCTGTAGTATTTTGAGGTTTGATGAACAGACCTGTACTTCAGTTATGCTCCTCTTTTCCCCCTAAATATCTTTTCTGTGGAATAAAATAGAATTCTGGTTTTTAGATTCTCATCAGAGAGCTCTTCATCAACTTTATAAATTCAGTCATTTCTCAAAACCTCTTCCAGCTCCAGTGTGTCTTTTTTTAGGTGTGGAGACCCAAAACTACATGAGACACTGAGTGGTTCTGAACAAGAGCAGGATCCCAGGTTCGAGGTTGTTTCCAGTGTCCTTTCTGGTGATGCCCAGTGTTTTCTGGGCTTTTTGTGATGAAACATGCCACATGGTGTCTTCATAGAACAGTTTAGGTTGATTAGAAAATAATTTTGTTAAAAATTAAAAAAATAATTTTGTTAAAAATAATCCTGTAATGATTATCTTCGTTATGTACATATCTGTTTCTTTAGGACAAATTTCTGAAAGTGGAATTTTTGGACCTTATGTATACATTGCTAAATTGCTCTTTTTGGTTTTCTGAAACTTTTTTATTTTGCTTAAAAATGAGGCCTCTCTGGGGCTGTCAACATGGATGTACGTGTCACACATAAATAAAACCTAAGTGAAGCCATGAAACATGATTGACATAAAATTAGTGCCGGAGGAAGCTTTGTGACTGTTTTACAAGAAATAAATCTTACAGTTCTCTCTTGAGGTTGAATCTTGGGAAATGAAAACCCCTTTGGGTGAAGAGAACATCTGGAGCAGAATATGCAAGATGGACTTTTTGTGCTAAATTGCTCTTAAGATAGGTTATATCAATTTATACTGTCTTCACAGTGCTTACTTTGTCACATCTCTGCCAGCACTAAGGATTATTAGTTTTTAAAAACTTTGGTCAGTTTTGTAAGCCAAAAATGGTTTCTCATTGTTTTAATTTGTATTTTTCTGATTTTTTTGGTCGACTTTTTGGTTTTTATTGGTAGATTTCTTTACAGTTACTTCCTCTGCTTTTATGACAGTACACTTTGATTAACTTCTATTTTCTACTTATAAGCAGCGTGATAATTTAGAGCAAGATTTAAAGAAATAAAAACACTTGGGTACACCATGAGTCCCTTAGTCACTGTTATCAGTTGCTGGTGTTTTTGGTTTTCCTTACTAGGGCTAAAGAGAAAACAGGATTAAATCTTTGGCTTTTAGAAGACTCAACTTTGGTATTTAAATCCAAAGGTTATAAAGGTTTTTCCTGCTGCCCTACCATTTCCTATCTCTCATTTTCCTAACAAAAGATACCCTACCTTACCGCTGACCATTCTGAGCCAACCCCTGAGATTTCTCTGTGTGGAGAACGTTATTTTCTTCTGCTGTGTTGTCTCTCAGCTTCAAGCCCCTGTGGCTTCAAGTCAGACAATAGTAGGCTCCCGGCTGTTCCCTGCACACACGGCCAGCTACTGCCCCTCCTCCCCCACAGGCTTCTCCAGCTCCTTAAAAAGACCAACTATTCTGCCCTCCTCCCCCAATCTTTGTTTTCGTTTCCTTCGTGTTGGGATGCCAAGGGCTTTCACTGACATCCAGTACATTCCCCTTGGTAATGGGCTCCAACGCTTCCCATCCCAGGAGCCAATCATTTGTTGTCCAGAAACTTTACATCTCATTTCAGTGAGATAGTCTGCTGCCAACCCATAGTTAGTATAGATAATTGGTATTTCACTTTATTAGTATCTACCATAATTAGCTATCTTCCCAATTGGGGGAAGGGTATTTTCTATGAAAACTCTTAAGCAGGCAGATGTGTTTTGTTGGTTGGGGGTTGGGTGGGGGGTCAAGAAACCAAACCTGCAGATCTGTTGATCCCGTGGGGTAGTAACAGATATACCTCTGCCATGCCACCTGTTCCCCTGTGGTTCTGAGTGTTTTTTCTCCTTTATTTTCTCTTTGTAAAATTATAAAAACAGTCTATTAGCATAAAAAGTTTTGGAAAAATAACCCACCACCCTGCTTATTTTTCTTTTAATCTTGCCTCAGGCACATACCTAGGTTTACATTGTTATAATTACAGTCTGACACGATAACATTTGTATGAGGTTTTTTAACTTACCACTATAAGTAATTTTCCATGTTGCTAGATTATATAATTAGGGTTTTTAAAAATTAAAATTTATTGGAGTAACATTAGTTAATACATTATATAAATTTTCAGGTGTACAACTTTATAATAGGACATCTATGTACTCCAGTGTGTGCTCACCATCTGAAGTCTGATCTCCTTCTGTCACTGGGTATTTGACTCCCTTTGCTTTCTTTGCCCTCCCCCATCCCTCATCCCCCTTCCCCTCTGTCAACCACCATTCTGTTGTCTGTATATATGAGTTTGTTTGTTTCGTTTGTTCATTTGTTATTTTTTGTTTTCTATCCCACATATGAATGAAATCACATAATTCTTTTCCTTTTCCATCTGACTTATTTCACTTTGCATGATACTCTCAAGATCCTTTCATCTTGTCGAAATGGCAGTGTTTTACCTTTTTTATGGCTTAGTAGTATTTTGTTGTATATCCAAACACATCTTTATCCAGTCATCTTTGGAAGGACACTTAGCATAATTAGGATTTTTAATGACCGCATAGTAATCTGTCAGTCAACCATTCCCTGTTCTTGGACATTTAGATTGTGTGTGTATCTGTGTCTTTTGCATTGTTTTAATGATGCTGTACACTTTTGCATATAGCTTTTGGGAATTTTTGTTCTTAGGATACATTTCTAGCGGTGGGGTTCCAGGACCCAATTTGCCAGTTATCTGTGCAGCTACTGCACTGCTTTTTTAAAAGAGTTGTATAAGCCTGCATCCAGAAAGGTTGTCAGTATAAACATGGTATAAAAAGTATGTAAATGAGTCAAGCTCTGGGATGCTGAAGCTTTGTAGGCTGAACAAGGGAGATGGTGGGTCTTTCTTCTTCTTTCTGGCAGATTTGAGCCAGCCAGCCTCATGTTTCACCAGGTGAGTGTTACAGTAATTTTCTAAGGGAAGGCATCTTTACTTGTGCCTTGAGACTACTCTGTTGCAGTAGTTCTGTAGCTCTGCTTCTGCAAATCATGAAAGAAACAGGTAGATTTTCTTTTCTTTGTGTATTAAGTTAAAATAAAGTTTAAGCCTTCTCCAGAACTGTTCCCTGGTCAATTTGATAACTATATGGTGCTTTGAGAGTCACCCTGCCCTTCGGGTTCAGTGGTCCATTCCTGACCAATTACAGTTTTAGGGTGAAAATTAACGAATCAAGTACATGCTGAGATAAAGAAAAACACACCTAGGGGATAATATAATTTTTCAGTGTATTTATGAGACAGCATAAATCTTGGCAGTAGCAAATCATTTAGAATTTGATTAAATTTCATGCCGTAAAAAATACGTTATACAAAGTTAATATTACTAAGAGTAAGTTAGTAGAACTTATAGGCAAGTCACATACATGAATCATAAGTTTTCTGAAGGAAGGAGGTGCTGAGCCATGCATTTTTTTTTAAGGGGCTGAGTGATTGATTTTTTGCTAATGCATGTGATCATGGAGTGATGATGATATTCCCTGACAAATCGAGGGAGTGTGGTTTGTGTCTACCCTGTTTTTGGCTATGCAGCCAGCCAGGAATTTCTAGGTATTGAGGTTTAGGGCCTGCCAGTCAGGCATGTCACTACATATAAACTTTTCTTTCCACCCCTCCCCCCATGTCCCCAGTGTTTTGGAAACCTGTTGAGATAAAACACAGGTGCGTGACTTCCCATCATACAGGGGCTTGTGCATGAGTCTGTTGGCTGTGTGCGTGCGTTAGTGTGCGGTGAAGATGATGCCAAGCAGAGTCCGGTAGGTTCCTGGGATCACTGATTCTGGTCTCTGTTTCTCTTATAGCCCTTGCCAGCGTCCAGCCATGGGGGATATGAAAACTCCAGATTTTGATGACCTTCTGGCTGCCTTTGACATCCCAGACCCCACCAGCCTTGATGCCAAGGAGGCCATCCAGACCCCCAGTGAGGAGAATGAGAGTCCCCTCAAACCTCCAGGCACGTGTATGGATGAGAGTGTGTCCTTGTCTCACTCAGGGTCAGCCTCAGATGTGCCGGCCGTGAGTGTCATCGTCAAGAACACCAGCCGCCAGGAATCATTTGAAGCGGAGAAGGACCACATCGCTCCTAGCCTCCTGCACAACGGATTCCGGGCATCGGACCTGCCTCCGGATGCCCACAACCTGGGCCACAACTGTGGGAAGTTTGATTCCACTTTCATGAATGGAGACAGTGCCAGGGGTTTCCCGGGCAAGCTGGAGCCTTCCAAATCGGAGCCACTACCAACCTTTAACCAGTTCAGTCCCATCTCCAGTCCAGAACCTGAGGACACCATCAAAGATAATGGGTGTGGACCGAAGCCCAAGCACTCTGACAGTTATTTCCCACCCCCTCCTGGGTGTGGGCCTGTCCTGGAGGCTCTGGCTAAGTTTCCAGTCCCGGACCTGCATATGTTTGATCACTTCTGTAAGAATGAACCCAAGCCAGAACCCCTGCCCCTGGGGAGTCAGCAGGACCACGAGCGGGGTGGGCCAAAGGCGTTGGAGCCTCACAAGGAGCTGGATGCCACTCGCTTCTTTGGGGAAGCTTTGGAGTTCAACAGCCACCCCAGCAAGGGGCTCACTGCGGAGTTTGGGACCTGCTCATCAGTCCCCCCGAGGCAGCGTCTTAAGCCAGCCCATTCCAAGCTGTCCTCTTGTGTGGCAGCCTTGGTGGCCCTGCAGGCCAAAAGAGTCGCCAGTGTCACCAAGGAGGATCAGCCTGGCCACACAAAAGACCCCTCAGGGCCCACTAAAGAGGGCTCCAAAGGCAGCCCCAAAATGCCCAAGTCACCAAAGAGTCCCCGGAGCCCTCTGGAGGCCACTAGGAAGTGCATGAAGCCATCGGACAGCCCCCGGAGCATCTGCAGTGATGGCAGCAGCAAGGGCTCCCCTTCTGTGGCTGCCAGCTCCCCACCAGCAATTCCCAAAGTCAGAATCAAAACCATTAAGACATCGTCGGGGGAAATCAAAAGGACTGTCACAAGGATCTTGCCAGACCCCGATGATCCCAATAAGTCCCCCGTTGGGTCACCTCTGGGGAGTGCCACGGCCGAGGCCCCGAGCGAGGTGCCTGAGGACGAGGTCACTGCCCTACCTCCAGTGGAGCACTTTCCTGAGGGGAGCACTAGTTCAGGGAGTCCCCAGGGTGACAGGAAGGGGGCTGAGAGCACGGGGAAGGCCAGTGGCTCTTCGTCTCCCAGCTGTGGCCCTGGGTCCCGGGTCCCGAAGGGGGCTGCCCCGAGCTCACAGGTGGGCAAGAGGCCGCAGCAGAGCGCAGCGCCGCAGGCATCCACCCTGGCCCCTGCCACCCTCCTGCCCAAAGCCGTGCACCTGGCCAACCTGAACCTGGTCCCCCACAGCGTCGCTGCCTCAGTGACGGCCAAGTCCTCAGCGCAGAGGCGGAGCCAGCCGCAGCTCACGCAGATGTCGGTGCCCCTGGTCCACCAGGTGAAAAAGGCCGCCCCGCTGGTGGTGGAGGTCTTCAACAAGGTCCTCCACAGCTCCAACCCCGTGCCCCTGTACGCGCCAAATCTCAGCCCGCCTGCCGACAGCAGGATCCACGTGCCGGCCAGCGGGTACTGCTGCCTGGAGTGTGGCGACGCGTTTGCCTTAGAGAAGAGCCTGAGCCAGCACTACGGCCGGCGGAGCGTCCACATCGAGGTGCTGTGTACGCTGTGCTCCCAGACGCTGCTCTTCTTCAACAAGTGCAGCCTGCTGCGGCACGCCCGCGACCACAAGAGCAAGGGGCTCGTCATGCAGTGCTCGCAGCTGCTCGTGAAGCCCATTTCTGCGGACCAAATGTTCGCGGTGGCCCCCGCGAACTCCCCGGCCCCCGCAGCTCCCGCCCCCGCCGCCCTGCCTCCCTCCCCCAAGCACGGCCCCACCGCGGGCAGTGCCAGCTCCACCATTCCAGCTTTGCCACTCTACCCGGACCCCGTGAGGCTCATCCGGCATGGAATCAAGTGTCTCGAATGTCACAAGCAGATACGCGACCACACGGTCATGGCCGCGCATTTCCAGAGGACATCAGAGGAGACCGAGGGGCTGGTAAGCGGCCCTCCCTGTGGCAGGTGGCAGGCCCTGGTTCACATGGGCTCCATGTTGGGCAAGGAGAGAAAAGCTCACCGATGGGGGCAGTGGTGGCATCTCATGAGTTGTGGCACAGGGTCCGGCTTGCTTGTAGCGCCTGCTTGGATATATAGTGTTTGGTATTTAGTGGGCAAAGCATCCTGCCCACAATGGAGGGGAGACCCTGAGGACCTGGTGAGTGCGTGTGTGGATGTGGCCCGCGGCCCACTCAGCTCCCAGTTGGCTCTCAGGGCCCAGTGTCAGGCCTGGGCTAGAGTCTTTATTGGATGATGCTTTGGCCTCTGGCACGTGTCAGTGTGGTCCTCGCAGGTCCCCAAAGGACTCAGGGGTGGAGGTAGGTGTGACACTGCCTTGCGATTTGGTCTGTACTTCCGAGAACCATGCCTGCACTGCCCACAGTGGACACAACTCTTTGTGCAGAATCCTTTGGGGAAAGCACAGTGGGCCAGTGTCAGGGCCGATGTGGAAGGAAGGAGAGCAGACTGACACGTGGGCCTCTTCTTTTCATCCGTGTTCTCACCTCTCTGGGAAGGCACCGCGCTTACTGCTTGTTCTTCTTGGTTATGCTTGATGAGACCTGGCTTTATTTCCAAAAGGCATCTGTGCTCAAAATTCCCTTTGGCACCATCTGTGTCAGTGGCTGGCCGTGTTGGCAAGGTCCTGTGAAGGAAGCGGGTCTTCAGAGAAGTCTCCAGAAAGCTCTTTTCTCCCTCCTCCAGGTGGAAGGAGTCTCTGCATGACCTGGCCAAGCCTGCCCCCTCACTGAGCCTCCTGCAGCCAGGGCTGCAGCAGCCTGGGA